TGCTCGGTCTAGTCCAGAAGAGAATCATGCTATCAGGCCGATCACGCCGCCGGCCGGGACCGGGCCGCCTCTCATCACACTTTACACCTTAGTGCTAAGGTTAGTGCGAAAATCCTGAGCTGTGATGGAAAATAAGTTCATGGCTGACCCCTCGCATCACACGAAAATGGAACTTTCCAGGTAACGTTAACATCAAACAAGCTCATAGGAGCTGGCTTTGGCTGTACGCATGAATTCGAGCAAATGTTTGGCGGCTCTCATTATGAATGTCATGCTCCTGGTGTGAAACTTGGATGATTCTGTCATCGACTATGTTCATTGCAACAGCTACTAGGTATTTGATGAGTTCTCTGACTGGTATGCATGAGTATACCTGCGGTTGCTCATGAGCTAAGCTATCTGTGGTGACGACCAGCTCACTTACACTGGATCCGGCTCTACCTTGACCATGGATAGTACTAGGGCATTGATGCAGGATAGAATCATCGACCTACTAGATACAAGGCGAAATGACTACATTTAAGAGAGATATCGCAGAACTCGAACGTACAATATCTTCAGTGACAATGAGACTGCGGCTTGCTGAGAGAACTTGAACCTCATTACCTCCCCACGAGTACCTAAAATCCAAGCCACGAGGATGACAAGCTCGCTTGGTAGAGCGGTGAGACATAAATGATCAAAGCACGCCTACGCTTGCTCCATCTGTGACTCCCATGTTGTCGCAGTCCTTGGAGGCTGAGTTCTTGTCATCTCCATACAGCTCTTGTTCGTGACTACTAGTGCTTGCTTACGTATTAGCGTCAGAGGTTCACAATTCCATCACATCAGATCAGGTAAAGAGCCAGCTTAGACACTCGGGCAGGGTGTCTCAGCAACAGTGAGCTTGCTATTGTAAATTCGTCGCCGTCTTCCGTCACCACCCGGTGCGTTAATCGTATGGTCAACACCAGCAGGCTCACCGGTGTCATGCCCAGCTTCCCCCTGAGCCCCTGAGGTATATACGTCTTGCATGTGTCGACGAGTAGTCAAGTACCCCGGCCTAGCTATTGGTAGTGCTTTGTAAATGGTCTATGATCGAGAAGGCGTGAAATGTTGTGAACATCACTCTGTCTAACGATCAATTTGTCATAGCAGAGGACTCAAATTGTTCTGTCAGTCAATACGTAGATCTACTACTCACCCCTTATCAAACAAAAATATTTCTGGTCATGCCCCTTCACTGCACTCGGAACACTTAGTGATCAGAAGCATCATTCGGACAGGCCAAACGCAACTTGGGGTCTATCATTCTAGGTACTCAGGGGTAGTTCAACTTACGAACCTTCTCACGTTGCTGACTGATGGGAGCTGCTCAGTCTTAGTACTGAACCACAACCTCAAATGAGCCGTTACGAGTGCTGAAATCCCATGGATGTACAGTATTTTAGGTAGGCCGCTTTATTGATAATACCAGGTATAAACATGAACATGCCCAACTTCAAGCCCTCACCCCACAAGGGAGGGAAGGAGATTCTGCATCTCCAAGTCGCATCATCAAGCATACCTAGCACCACTCGAGTACTAGCCCCTGAGTCAATGAATACGGGGGTGGTAGGGAGGCGTATCCATGACTTGCCTGGAACCACCTTGAACAAGCTGCCTTACTTTGCTGCCAGTCCTTTCCTGAATGAAGCTAATCTACCCTATGTTGACCACATATCTGCTTCAGGTTCTCCCTATAATTCCGACATCGCCTTATGTTGCACGGTGAAGAGGGCAATGCCAGGCATGTCAGGCTTTTGATCGGATTTGAACGCTTGGAAATAGGGCACAGAGTCTTCCATCAAGCTACAACCTAGCAGAGAGAGCCGACTTCTCTGATTGCACGGTCAGAGCTTGACACTTCCAGCTTCATAACAACGTGGATGACCGTAATGTCAGGCGTGCTGAAGCTGTTGTAGTAGATCTAGCTGGGCACCGACTAACCCTGAGCTATTATGTTGAGAGCATGTTGTCATTAATGCCATCTTGCTGGTATATAACTGAAATGCCAGTGTCAAGTTCAACGGTAATGAAGACATCAATGTCAGGGCGCACCCCCTTTCCTCCAGGAAATACTCAGCTCAGAAGCTATATCCATTGCGGCGAAGACACGGACATACCCTCAGGCCACCGTAGTTGATAGGGACAATTTGCTGTATACGTGGCCAGGAGAGAGGTCGAAGAACAGGGCAAGCCTGAGGCTGTCACGGTCGAGGTCATACTTACAGTGGCTCTGCATGAGTATCTGCCGCCACACGGCCGAGTGCTACTGGGATGGAAACAGGTATATGTTGAAGTCCTCCTTACTCACCCTCGGTCCGATAAAGCCCAGTACAGTCCCGTTCGGCACAACCACCATTTTACAACCCACCCCAGCGCCAGCATTCACTCGGCTTGATACATAGGGCACCTTACCTCACCTAGCAAGGAAATATTTGATCGGTGAGTTCATGACATTACGCTCAGAACATTTGCCTGACATGTAAGTTCGATGAAGTGAAGACCACATTACTACTAGCAACTAGTGACAACATGCCGCCGACACTGTCGCTCATAGCCTGCGGGGTGCCAGTTGGGCTTCAGCATGTTGTCATTACCGTCTCACTCGCTTGTATTGATTGGAGTTACATGTCAAGGCCAACTTATCACAATAACGCCGTTGATGTATGAGACTGCTCTCCCAAGGAGGCAATACTTATACATACCTAGTACCTAGGAGATGCTCGATGCCCCTGGTCATTCCACGACAAACCGCGCCGGCCTCCGGGCGTTATATGAGCATTCCAGAATCTCGAGTCTCTCTCCTTAGGTAGGCTGTCATCCCGGCCGGAAACCGTACATGTCAATATCCATCCGCCGTGGATCCACAGTACAATATTCCAAACTCTTGGTATCTCCTTCTCAGTAGGTAGTAACGCCTCCCATAGACATCATCTCTTGCCATCGTCTAAGAGGCGAAGGGATCCCGAAGCAAACCCCAAACTTGCCCGCTTGAGAACGTGATCATCACTCCGCGGAGGCAGAGATCAACCAGGTCGGGAAAAGGGGGTTGCTTGAATATGTCCTGTTCATTACCTTCCAAGCCAGTAGATACGCGTAGTCGGGTACTCAAATCTTGCAAGACATGATAACCCGGACGTATTAGCACCATGCCATCATGCCGCTGATTGCTGCTCGTGTTCGTCCCAGTCTGCTCCAGGACTGTCTTGCTCGTGCAGAGCTATCCGGTCAAAGAACCCGAGTAGATGGATGGCTCTTCTGTCGACGGCAAGCTCGTCATACCCGGTTGAAGGCATCTGGGAAATGATGAGCATCATGTGACCTGAATGCCATGTATGGGCTCGATACACATACCTTTACTTCCTCTCCAGATGCCAAGGCGTAGTGTTAATCGGCTGATTGTCGACTTGGTTCTGGCTTGATATCCAGCCATCACTGATCACGAGTCCCCTCTGCATCAACACCATATCAACCCAGATCATGTTGTGCACCCAAGACAAAGCGGATGAGCTGAAGATATGATGTGATGCTATCGATTATCCTTCAACTTGAGGCTAACTACTACACTAAGCAACGCGTATTAACCCAAGTACAGGTACGCAGGGGACCAAGCCCGACGATGTGAACAACCAAAGTGCCGCTATGCTCCCGAAAGAAAAAAATACCAGAAAGATGCCCGGGGGTATCATGCTAAGGGGGGTATCCAAAACAAACCAACCGAACCCAAGACCAGCCAAACAAGTACAAAAAGTACTCGGAGGACGTGTGGCTCAGCTCCGGAGACCACGCAACCCAAGCATCCAGAACGCGCATGCCAACAAACTTTGCCATGCATAAGACTTCTGGCTATACCCCAAGACCGCTGCCGAAAACAGGAAAAGAACAAGACTCCATATGATGACGACAACAAATGATGATGCTGATAATGCTGATGATGCGGATGATGTTGCCGATGAGGGCAGTGTGTACCATGGGTGTAAGTGCAAAACTTTTCCTTCTCCTTCCCGTAAAGTGCAGTAGATATCAGAAAACGCCAGCTTCGCTTGGTCCCATAATCTCAAGATAAAATGAACAATGAGATTAAAATCAATACCGGCAATGACGTAAGGGGTAGACGCAGCCGGGACCGCCGGGTCGGTAGGGGACCCGGTCGGCGGAAATTATTAATCGAAAAGAAGAGTTCAGACAAATTGGTAAAATGTGTAAAAACTCAGTCGGTCCGGCCGCCGGAGAGCATCGAAGGGGAAAAAAAGGTAGACAAAGAGACAACAAAACCCGCCGAAAGGCTTGTGTTGTGTGCCCTCGGCCCAAATCAGTCCGCGAAATCTAGGCTGACTGACAAAGCGCGCGGATGTTGCATGACACGTGGTAGGTGTGGAGATGGCCATGGAAATGTCGGGTGAGGTTCCCATTGGACAGAAAGTCTCGGTGTGCTAGGTCTAGGTGGAGGCATAGGGCAGCGCGATCCGTGCGGGACCGACGAATAGCGGGTCGGTGATTTCGGGCGGTGAAGGATCAAAGGAAGCGCCGAGTCCTTCTCATGTCCGAGCACACTCTTTCGGATGGTGGGAACTTCTTTTTTGTTTGGCTTTCCGAGGTCTGTGCCGTTTGCCGCGCGTTGCTCGGCCGCATCCCTCTTTGCTGCCGAGGCAGGACAGGGCCGAGGACGCAGAAGTTACTTGGCTGTGTTGTGGCCCCTTGTACGCCTCACGGGCGTGCTGTGGCTATTCGGCTGCCATTCCTATTGCCGGGTGGAGGTTTGGCAGGTTTGCATGTGGCAGACTCGGGAGGGCATCGTGATTGTGATGATGAGTCAAAAAAAGATTGCCTGCTGCCTGTTGCGGTATTAGCCGCTGCTTTCCCGTGCAGTCACTGCAGTGCACCGGTCGGGTAATTGGTTTGCGAGCTGAGTAAGCAAGAAATTTAAGGTACGTACCGACTCTGTGCAAGTCGTCCGCGCCTGCAATTCATGACTCTCACTCGGCCTCGGCGATGGGCGTCATGGCCTTGAGCTTGTTCTTGGTCTTTTTGGATGATGAGCTGGAGCGCCTCTTTGCCTGTTGCCGCCGGCGGTCCTTCTCAAGCAGGAGAAGCTTCATCACCTCTTGCTGGTAGGCTGCACGCTCTCGCTGCAGCTCGAGGATGTCGAGCTCGGTGAGGGCTGGTACCGGTGGTGAATGTACCGGCGAGGCGCTGCCGTGACTGGAGTCGCTGCGGATGTCGTCTTCGTAGAAGAGGTCCTCGTCCGAGATGTATGAGGTTGCGCTCAGTTCCGACGCATCGTACTCGCAGAAGGAGCTCCGCCGCGGCCACGACGGGAAAGCGCAGCTCGCGTCCGGGCCTCTTGTCGAGAATGGGCTTGGTGCGATGTCCATGGGTGATGAGATGCTTCTGTACGAGGAGTAGGGGGATGTGAAGGAACTGGACCCGGAGCTGGGAGTCGAGCTGGAGCTGCTGCTCGTCGAACTGGGCGAGCCGTAAAACATGTTTGCCGTAGTTGTAGTGTGTGGTATTATTGTCTTGTTCAAGACGTCGATGACGTACGAGAGCCTGGGCAGCGTCGTCTGTACTATTAGTGTGCAATGCAGTGCACTGAACTTAAAGTTCTGATCTGGCGCGTCTTGAGTCGGTCCTGGCGGTCCTGGTGATGAACGTGGGCGGAGCATGAGTCGGAAGGGGGCAACCTGGTCTTATACACTACAGTACTCTACGTGCCCGACTCCTTTGGGGGGTAGGGCGACAAGGGTGCAGGTGGCTGACCCAGAGGGCGGGATCCGTGGGGCAGCCTGGAGATTACCGCCGCCGCAGGATTGTGCTTAAACACCGGCACAATAAAAAGGTGAGGCCCCTCTTTCTTTTCTGGCTCCCGACGGAAGGTACCCAATCATGGGTCAAAGGTGTACCCGGGTAACGGTACTTGTCACCGCATTGCACCTGTGGTTGCCTGTAAGATGTCTGACCGCCGTTTGCTCATGTATGAACCTCTTCCACTGGGCGGCCTACACAGCCCGAAATTCGCTACAACATCGTTCTTCGTGTTGGATTCGCCATTCACTATTGGTTTGGATAAGACAAACGCTTGACCTATCGTTCTCGGGGACTTTCTCCGGGGAAGCTGAGTGAGACTCGGGCACAATCTGGAGCCCCGGATTGCACCCCGTACGCCCCTTTAGCCCCTGTTCCGTTTGTCCCCCACACCGCCTGAAATTAGATACCTTGCCTTTTTCTCTTTATTTCTTGTTGGCTTCGGTGGTGGACGTGGAATTCAAACACACTCCTACCGGATAGGCAACATGCAACATCACCAACAGACCCCTTATCGTTGGGCTCGAGTTTCCTCCTTGTTTTTCGCGCATCTTTCGCGTCGCAACCTTGATGCCAACATGAAATGGCCTTGGTGCAATTAGCATGCAGCCCCAAAGGACGATAGGGCTGCCTGCCTGCCCAAGGTATGTATGTACTGTACGTGCCGACGAAACCGACGAAACCGGGAATCAGGTAGATACGGGAAGTACGGTACTCCAAGTCATCGTTATTTATAAGGCAGGTAATACAGTGCAGCACCACCAACCGAGTGAGTCAGACTGGGGGAGCACAGAGGGCTTCGGCGGTGACCATTTCGCGGCCCAGAGACGTATAGAAGCCCTGCTAGAAGTATTTGCTTACCCAACCTAGACTTCCATTTCACCTCGAAATGGAAACTGGGGGAGAAAATGGAGGTTCGGGTACGCAGGGCCGTGGCAGATCCAATCAGTTTGGCTGCGATTACACGCCGTCTTTTCGGCTGCAAACATTTGCGCACAGAGCGGAAAAGAAGCGGCGGACTTGCTCCTATTTCCAATCAAAAGAACGGATGTTTGACATGCAGCACTCACCGTCTGTTCTTTTCCCAGGCAAGTCTGACGTAGCTGACACCTGCAGCACTTGCCGACGGGAAACCTGCTTCCCCAAGCATCAGTCCGCCATTTTGCCTTGGTGTCCTGTGCATTGCCAGTGATCGCATTTTGTGACCATTGATGTGTTGGCGACTTTTGCGACAGCTCTCTTCGGCTTGGGTTTCCGCCCCAGAGATCTGCCCTGGCAAACGGGTCCGGAAGGCAAAGCCGGCTCTTAGCAGCGCACGTACCCGACTTGGATAGGATCAAAGCGCTTCCTCCCGACAAACAAAATGGAGCCTAGAACCATGTCAACCCACGTTGAGCCATGGCCCGGAACACGCTCCGCGGCCGGGTCGCCTATCCTTCAGACCGAAATTGCTCCCGAACAAACGGTCACTCCTCCCATGGTTTTGGGACTCGTCGGATCTCTCTCCAGTGCATCCGCGGCAGGGAAAAATAAAGATACGCGTCGTATTACCGCAAAGCTGAGAAGATGAGCAGCGTTCTTGTTCTTATTTTCTGAGGGAGCTCAGCACACTGCAATTTCTTTTTCTCCCCCCAAGCACTGAGACTCGACCCAACTCTTGTAACCGCTCCGGGGGCTACGGTTTCCGGAAATGGGAGCTCGGTATGCGTGGGGGGTTGGCGGGGGGTTGGGGGTCGGGGGCGTGGATGCTCTGGGCTCTCTCACCTGAGACGCCCGCGCGACCCCCTCCCGATACGCCAAATAACGTTACCTTCCCATATTAAGATCGGTGTGGGTTGCGGTGGGAAGTTTTCCGATTTTACTCCGGGCGTTGGATTGCCTGCCTCACTGTTCTTTGATGAAGCTGCGGCATTTCACGTTTCTTTCGCCATGAAGGAATAGGGGCTGCTAACCTGCTAATATTTCTACCGTGTGGCCTGCGCCGGCGTGGGATTATGGCATTGTCATCAGACCAGTGATGAGGTCGTATGGAGGTCGATTCCAAGGCCACCCCGTGGGACAGAGTATCCCACGTGCGAGACCGAGCAAGACATTGTTGAAAGGCCTCAAGTTTGACTACCAATACCGACATACTTGGGAAGTTCTCCAGTTTGAGTGGATGCTGAAATGACTCTCTGCCACAGGCTAAAAGTTGGCTGTGGGAGCTTTTTCCGCCAGTTATCTTGTCACGTCTTCTCATCGCGGGATGATTCGAGACTTTGATCGGCGAGGTTCTAGGCAAATGACAGATCTTGCGTGCTTTGCCAAGGCTTTCCCAGATTCTGGCTCTCCGGCAACGCAGCAGCAGCCACTCCGTCCCTCGGCATCCAAGCTGTCTTACCCAGACCGGAGGGTCATCGGATATCCGGCCAGACCCGGCCGTCCCCGGTCCGGAGAGAGACCGAAAGGCACTGATAAGGATACTCTTTTATCTAATCCGGCAAACGGCTTGCTGCGCAACCTACATACCAGGTATCTGATGCTACGCTCATGATACCGACTTATGTATCCGTAGCTGCCACTTGTCTGTGATCCGTTCGCCAGTTCATTGGAAGCTCTGATTGAACTCCGTATTGTTCAGCCCAACGCATTCATTATCTTCTGGCCCTGACCCGCGGGCCTGTATATCACCATCTCCCGCGCCAAACGTTATCTACAACTTGGTCGAGACATATCGACTGCTGGCCTTCAGATTGCCTAAAGGCCCTGTACGCCCGGTGGTCTCGGAAGCGGGGTTGCCGTCTGATGGCAGCGTATAATCAACCCTGCTCACCCAGAGGTGCGAAATTCATGTACTGTACTCCGTAGATGCTTATTGGCCGGCGTTACACCCCGTCTCTATCACAGAAGGGCACACACTCAGCCCTCCATGCGGCATCGGCGATGTGATTAGCATGGTGTATCTTAACTGTCCCCCGGTTGTAACTCGCCTTCCTGTTCAGTGATCAATGGAAAGAGCGTCACGTTACCTTACATACGTACCTATGTACACTTTAGATAAGGTAGCTAAGGAAGGTACTACCCAGCACGTCCAAGACAAAGAAGGGATACGAAGTTTGTACTTTACACAGGGAAGGCGCATCGGGGAGCAATCACGTTTCCCTGATCTCCGCGTCGGATGCAGGACACCTCAAAAGAGATCTCGATCTATTTCAATCTCAGAAGGGTGAAAAGTGATTCGAGCACAACCGCCCCCTAACTGGCCCAATATCACGCGGGGCCAGGCGGTATACGAGTGTGATGGGCCACCGGGCCTAGCCAATGAGTACCTCACCTAGGCAGTCCGCTGTTGCCGATTCGAGATTGAGCTCGGGGCCAGACTCTCCCCACATAAAGTACAGCACACTACTTGAGGGATACGGCGGCACATCAAAACACATCCATGGATCGACAAATGGACACGAAGTTCTAGCCATCTGCCCATGGATCAAGGGCCAGGTCTCGATGCTTAGAATGAATACATTTTCCAAGATGGCCTCGATTTTCTTTAAACATCCGTTTTAGGTCCGTTACAAGATGAGAGCCGCGGCATGCTTGGGGCTCTTAGCATCCGCATCCACTGTGAGTTGGGCTCAGAACTCCCGTCTGGATGCCTGGCCGGTGATTGCATCTGCGTGAGCGCCTCACTGTACTGCACGGTATTGAGGAGAGCGGTTAAGGCACTTGCTTGCTGCCTAAGGTAGAACACATCTGCGGGGACAACTCAGACGTACTGACTGGCCAGCTCAACAGGTGAGATGCGCCGGGGGGTCTCATTCGCCAATGGCCCAACAAAGTGGTTCGTCAGGCGGCTGTTGAGGCTGATGTGGGGTGACGATCATGATGCTCAAGCTCTCGTTCAGCGCCCATCTCAGGGCCGTACTGCAGGGCGTGTGCGCGGCTGGTAGCTGCTTTGCTATCGTGGCTGCTGTATTGGTCTGCGTATATACGGGGTGTGAATGTACAATACCGTGACCTACACCGTATTCCTAGACATGCATGCATGCCCTGCTTTCTTCGCTGGCCGTTTAGTCGGATATTGTGAGTCAGGCAAGCTTCCCCGGGCCTGACAGCTTACGAGAGACAGATACCCTCGGGCAGTGGCTGTCTCGGGTATCTGTGTTAGGATAATCGCCAAGAGAACTGTGATCTTGGAGTGTGCCTGGGTTGCTCCAACATGTGATATCCCGCGATGTGGCAAAAGGGGCTGAAGGTTGGATCGCGTCTACTTTCAGGGGCTCGGGCGGTAAGTGTCGAAAAAAATAGAATCAGTCACCCGGCGATCATTGACCACTGGCCTAGCCAAACTGTGGTCAAACTACCTAATACTCTGGTCTCAACCCCTGATACTAGTACTACACTAAGTTGGCAAGGCGTTGAGGTAGGTTGCCTGGGAAATCCGTGCTGGTTCTCGACTCGGGACCAAGAGTAAACAATCTAGAGCCTCTAGAAGATCTCACGAGTTGGGAGGCAACGGAGGACTTCCAGCAGTAAACAGGGCACACTAGAAGCTGCCCTGGCAGCAAATCTTATGCAGTGACGCGATCAGGAACTGCCACATCATGATGTAAAGGTGCGGAATCTAGCTATTATGTAAAACCGATGTTATAAGATCCCGATATGTAAGCGACTGAGAAGTCTAAGATTCTGAATGCTGGTCCATAACTCAGAACATCATCTTTCCCATCCCCTTCAGAGTCGACAGAATTAGTGCTGATACTTCACTTACACCAAAGACCAATCTCTCAAACTTGCCCTTCGAGTGATATGACCGTGTTAGGTCCATGACTGTTCACTGATTCATTTACTGAACCCAACATAGTCCTGGCATGACCACACCTTTGGCACTGAAAACCTCTAACCGTAACCATTTTGCAGTACCCGGGTGGCGCGCTACGGTATCTAGCTCGCGAGGTAGACTGGAGCATCTCGCTCTTGCTTTTATCCAGCCTCAATGCCCACAAATGGAGGAAAGTCCAGCCCGGCCTTACTGCTTCGCGCCAGTATAAACCTCCCCTCCTCCTTCTCCTCAATCTCCCCGTGAAAGTTTCAGATCACAATGCCCACGCTCTTCGCTGGCGGTTGATGCCCTCACTGTCAGGTGAATATGCCCGGTAACGTTCTGGCGCAACCATGAAACTCCTATTTCACCGTGTGGCACTAGTGCTACCTACCTTGACCACCGAGATAGCAGTGAGAATGGCAGTAATGATGGCGGCAGTGGCGATAATAGTCTGGTGTCCTAATATAAAACAACACCTCATACCTTAGCCAGAGAAGCAGCCTGATTATCCCAAATCCGTTCATTGCCCAGTAATTTGGGTCCGTAGGTGACCAGAAGCGATATAAAGACGATCATCTTGACTTGACAGACTCAAATGAATGGGGAAATGATAGATAATCCACACTATATACTTGTGGTGCTCAGCACTCATGAAGGTCTGTCGGGAGTAGCAACTAGAACGGCCCAACCTTCATCAAGTACGGACGCCCCTCTATTTATCTACACTTCCTGAAACCAGTGGTTCAGGTAGATAGCCCACTTGATCTCCTTTGAATATGGCTCGACAACGTAAGCTACTGATAGAAGGAATGACCGAAACGACTATTCTGGGGCTAGAACACCAAGACAAGGAGAGGTTAGAGTACTACCTCTGCGAGGCAAGTTGGAGTCCCAGAAAGCACTCCAAAACTGTAAGCGGTGCATGGCATAAGAAAGGGATAGCTACCTTACCTTGAACGCCTATCGCTTTTCAGCGCGAACTGGATTCAGAGGGTCGAAAGGGCCGAGTCACAACCTATGCTGGCTGAAACGGTGAAGATCTCGGGAATGGTGATGCAACGTCATATTGGTTAAACACTCGATATGTCCCCAGCACCAGGCGGACGTTTAAACCCATACGCAAGAAAGCAATGACACCGTACAGAACGCCGCAAACGCCGTTCCAATCCCGATCACCCTCTCCATGTATAACCCATCTGCACCAGTTCAGGCAGTCCGTCTGTTAACTCCTGAGCGCCTCCAACCTATTACGCATCTGATCCATCATAGCCTCTGTATCCTCCTCATCCTCCTCCTCTTCCATCTGTTGCTGCTGTTGTGCCGGCACCTGCTGCTGCTTCTGCTTCTCAGGCAGGGGCACGCTAGGCAGCGGGCCGGCCTTCTCCATCCTATCCTTCAAAATCTCACCAAGCACCTTGTCAATCTCGCCCTCGGCCTCCTCTTCCTCGTCCTCGAGCATGTCCGTCTCCGCCGGGAGCATCTCTTCCGCCATCTCCTCGATGATTCCCGCCTTCATGAGCTCCACGCTCAGCTCGCGCATGGTCTGGGCGAGCGCGGGCAGGCGGATCAGGCTGTTCACGTCCTTCATGATGCCGACGCTGGCCTTGATGCTGCCCTCAATCTTGCGCAGCGCAAACGCCTCGCTGACCTGCATCTGCACGCTGGCCAGCTGCGCCTTGGACGTCACCAGGCGGGCCGTCGTCTTGCGGTGCCGGATGAGCTCGCGCGCAAACTCGCGGACCTCCCGCTGCGCCTGCTTCTGCCGCGACGGGTCCCCGCGCTGGGCGCGCTTGTTGGCGGCAAGGATCTGGTTCTTGGTTTTTGTCTCGACGGTTTTGAGGTTCGCAATGCTGCGGTCGATGTTGCGCATCTCTGTGCGGAGCATCGCGTTGCATTTCCGGAACTGGTAGGGGCGTTGAATTCGATTTAGACTGGGTTCCGAGGGAGGAGGAGTGCCCTGCCATATTGTCTCTTTTGGGAGGATAAACGCACCTGAGCCTGGGGGTCTGGCTTCGCGAACATTGCTCTGAGCGTCTCCATGATGTTGATTATCACGGCCGCTGTAGGCAGCGGCGATTGAAGACAGACCGATTTGGCCGACCGCGATATGAGTCGGCTGGATTCTCGTCAGATGTGTAGCCGCTGCTCGGTATAATGTGTTACGGTCGCTGACGTCGCCCAAGGCAGCCCGAGGCTTGTCGTGTTGGTCTGCAGCCTCGTTGCGGTACCCCGGAACTGGTTAATGACGATGTCTCATACGGATAAGGCGTTCCTGGTGTTGCATGGCAGCCCGGCTTATCAGGGAGTTGGTGGGATTCAACCCCACTGGCCGTCAGCCCCACAGCATGCCCAGAAAATAAATTACCCCATAAAACTAGCTTACGGTATTGACTGTAACATACAATAGAGTACCTCCGTACATACATACCTTTTGGTTCGATTGCGATGTTAGAGTGAATTCGATTTGGAACAGCGACATACAGTTATTAGAAGCTTCAGGATTGAGTCGCGCATACATCCATGGCAAGTGATCAAACGTTTCATTTCGATTGTGTAGAGAAGCAAACAGAATATGGTCAGGTCTGGTTCACTCTACCGGTACGTACCAAAAAGCGGGAAGGGCGTAAGGCATTATTCCCGGTGTCATGGCTCTCATATGCCGTGGCGTTATGTGTCTTCGTTACCGCGCAACTGCATGTACTGTACAGAATTGGATGACGATGCCATGTATGCGTATTGTACAAACCATGAGACAACTGCAAGTGCATCAGATGTAAACTAGCTGCATTAGCATAGTGATGTGTAGGCAGGAGTTGGCGGTTCTTTTGAAAACGTCATGAGCTCTTAAGGGAGCTGCCATTTCTCCACCTCTTTTCAATCAGCTTTTCAGCCCTGCAGCGACGGCCCGTGCGAGGCTCTTTCGGCTTCTGGCGAATTCCACCAACGCGCCGACCCGACAAGGCAGCGCAGCCTCACAAACATCAGACCCCACCTTCCGCAGCTTTCTCCTCTTGAGGATTTCCAATTGTCGACTTTTCCCATTCTCAATAGATATACGCGTCTAAAGTGCTCGAAATAGAAGACAACGATCAACCGATACGCAACTAGAATTTCTCGCTAACTTACCATCTCCCATCCGAAGTAACAAAACGTTGGTTCTAAGTGCCTCCAGGAGCTACCCCTCCTCCCCCCCAGCATAGCATCCAGCATCACAAGACTCACACTATCGTCATCGAACAGGGCGCAATGGCTACTGATATGGTGACACCCGAAGGTAAGTCGCTTGTGCGGCTCCCACGCCCACCATAACCGGAAAAGCTGGTCGGCGTCGCGATCTCTCGGAAGAAGAATGCGGCAGTATCACTAACCGTTGTCATTGTTCCAATCCTGCAGTCCTCTGGGCGCAACGCTCGTCCAAGACCGACGCCGAGAAGAACTTCATCTACCTCACCATCAGCGTACCCGACGTGCCCGCGTCAAACCTCAAGCTGGACCTGAAGCCCACCGGCCTCACATTCACGGGCCACTCGGACACGCTCAAAAAGACGTACCACCTCGAGCTCGAGTTCTACGCCGAGATCGACCCGGAGGCCAGCAAGGTGAACCACTCGGCGCGCGACGTCGAGATGAAGCTGCGCAAGAAGGAGCTCAACGAGGCCTACTGGCCCCGCCTGCTCAAGGAGGCCAAGAAGGTGCACTTCCTCAAGACCGACTTCGACAAGTGGGTCGACGAGGACGAACAGAACGAGGCGGCTGATGATGACTTTGCCAACTTTGGCGGTGGTATGGGCATGGGTGAGTAGCATTTTGATCTGTAATTTCTTCATCCCCCACAAAACAACAGGTCCAAGAACCTTGAGGCGCCAGCCTCCCTTGTCCTCTTGCTGGTTCATATTGATTCCATACCTGGCTAAACATCACGTACTTGTAGGGGGACTGCCGGGTATGGGTACGTACCGAACCGCTTGAGAGGACCATCACATTAGGTTCTGTGTGCGCTTGGAAGGGAGCGATACTTGGTGAACGAGGGGACTTGCACTGGACAGTGACAGGGCATCTAGCAGCAAACTGATCGCTAACATCGGCTTATTATAGGCGGCGACCTCGACTTCTCCAAGCTGGGCGGTGGGGGTCTAGGCGGCGCCGGTGATGACGACGAGGGGGAGGATTCGGACGACGACATGCCGCCCCTCGAGGGCGAGGAAGAGGAGCAGAAGGAGGAGAAGGCTGAGGATGCTAAGGACGCCAAGGAGGTTGTCATGTCGTGACGGATGCCCGCGGGCACTTTGATACGGGCCTGTTAGCGTTCGCCACCAAACCGTGGAGACACAGCCTTCTTGGGTCATCGAAGATGATTGGGGAGGCTTAAAGACTAGGTGGATGCAGGACTAATAAAAAAGACCTATCAGCGAACGCGGGATCGACGCCTTAGGAGTAGGAGTTCTCGGTGGTACAATCTGATAATTCAAACAGGGGTGTTCTCGTCCTGCTCTTCGTTGCTGTGAAAAACGTGCTGTCATCTTTTCTTTGTGGACGATGAGGTGCAGCGGCTAGGGAACTCTGCGGTGTTCAAGCATCTGTCTTGACGGAGCAGGCATGAGCTTCGAGCTGGGCTACTACTAGGGTTGCATGGTGCAGATGTGTAGTTGGCCAGATTGTGTGATATCCTTGCGTGGTTCAAGATACTGTCATATCCGATTCAACACTGTTTTGAGTTGAAGCCCGGCGGTGCTCATTTGATGAACTTGCCGGCAAGCACCGCATAAGAGACGATAACAACGCAAGGCCAGCAGGATCCCTCGTATCATTCCACCACGGCAGTATAATGCTCTCTTATTTGGTCCATGTTGGATTACTCACACCCTAGAGGATGGATAGGCACATGTGAGAGCTTGTAATTTCAGAGTGCGAACAAATGTCCTCGGAGTAGTCAAGACACGTCAGTAGGGATTATGCTCATTTCATTCATTCGACGACACGGCAGATATCGCTAAGCCTCTTGAATTATACAGTATCCCGACAGCTAAGGAAATGGTGCCAATCTGTGCCTAAGTGATGCGAACACCGAAAATCAAAGCTGAGCCCGACCCAAACCCCATCCATGCCGAACCGCTCGAAGTCGTTACGTAAACCATGCCTGCAAGTCTACCTCATACACGCCCCTCTGGTCCCAAGTGATATGCTGTAGAATGACTAGAGGACATCCTCCTCCATCGCGGCATCGCCACCGACCGGGGCTGCGGCGGCGGCGCCATTAGTGTTCTCGGTGTTGGCGTTGTCAAAATAGTCAGCCATCTCCGAGTCCAGCTCCTCCGCGGTCTTCTTCACGGGCCGGTTGTTGCGTCCGCGGCGGGCGGTCTTCTTGGTGGCTTTACCGGCTGCAGCGCCTCCCTTGGTACCACTGGCATCCTTCTTTGTGGTGGCAGCTGACTTGGGCTGAGCCTTGGGCTGAGCGATGCGCTGAGCCAGCGGCTTGGGCTGGGGGATGAGATCGGCAGAGGCAACAACAACCTCAACCTGTATCAAGTCAATACTGAGAGTTTCCCCGAAGGCTGATTAAGGATAACAAACCTTGACGGGTTTGTTGTCGATGAGGAGTCCGTTCAGGGTGGAGAAAGCCTTGCTGGCGCCGTCGGCGTGGTGGAAGGTGACATGGGCAATGCCACGGCTGACTCCACCAGGGCCATAGGAGAGTTCAACCTTCTTCACCTGACCAACAGCTTGTTGAAAATATTCCTATCGACGGGAGTTGGGGGTTAGCGTCAAGAATTGCTTGGGGATTAGGCTTCCGTATCCCGGGTAGTCGACAGCCAAATCCACGAGGCAATCTGCGTAATGAGTATTCCTCGGCATATAACCAAAAGCAGCGAGCAGAGCAGTGAGCAGGACCCTCGGAATTTAGCGCCACCGCGACTGACAGGTGAAACACGTCCGAGATCCACTGACATCGTTCGACCGATTCCGTACTCCAGACCACGGAGCAGAGTTGGGAGGCGACAAGAGTATACCATGCGACCCAACCATGGCGAACTTGACCCAACCCCATTCACCCCGTTACACGCGAGTACAAAGTGAAAGGAAAACATATGCCATGCCGGAATGCTCAGGCCAAGACGGCAACGAGCTCGATCCCAATAAAACCGCCAAGCTAAGAGCCAGAGGAAGGACTGCCGCAATATTTGCTCACTGCTAAGCTCGCCGGGGTGCAAAATCATCGACCTGGTGACCAGCCAGGCGAGATAGTGCAGGAACACTCAGCTAAGCTGAACTGTCATATCTTGCCCTCGCTCTTTTACAGTCCGCGCATTGTTCCGGATCGTGGGCGCTTGCCAGGCAGCCCCGATGTCGTAAAAATGCAGCTAGACGCGAGCATGCTCAACTTCCCAGGACTTGACAGTCTTGACAGTGCTGCGGGTAATACCGATATGCACACCAAGAAGGAGCGTTGGCATCATGACAGTCGCTTCAAGCACTGAGGTGCGGGGATAATCACCCTCATCGTCCACCCAGGAAAGTATGTTGATAGGGCACGCCGCGGAAGAGAGGTGCCGATGAAAATCCGAAGGCAGGAACGGCCTCATCGGTAATAACATACCTTGATTTGGCCTTCGGAAACATCCTTGGGCTAGTACAATATTAGCATAGGAACTCTGTAATGTAGATGACGGGAGTTTGCTTACCAGGTTGCTGACCATGATCTTGCTCTCGCCGACTAGGCCAGCGCCCTTGGCAGGCGTGGGCTTGGCTGCGTTGCGCGCAGCCTTTGCATTCTTCTGGATGCCGCCAGCCGGGGCAGTAGTGGCGGGGCGGTTGGTGCCAGCAGTGCGACGCTGAGAGCGGCGTTTGCCCTGGTTGTTGCGCCGCTGGCTGGAGAGGATCTCATCAAGAGACTGGTCGAGTTTGCCGGACATGATGGCTAGGGAAAGGCACCGAAGTGAATGATGCGGGGATTTATGTTTAGGTTTTTGAGTGGCTGATCGACAAGCGCCGCTATTCGATTGATGAGAAGCGCGATGCGAAAGCTCGACGGTGCTTCGCGGTCGATGGTTGAATGGCTAATCAGAAATGGTGGTCGGGCAGTCGCTGGAAACCGCTGACTTTGCGGCTGCACGTCGCGTCAAGTCGCGGTCTGTGGCAAGGCTGCCGAGAGGAAAAGAAGTGTAGGGGTCGAAAATGAGATTATTGGCAAAATGGAACTGTTCAGGCCTGCGAGGGTTTGATGCGAGCCTGAGTAGTAGTAACGGGTCGCGATGAGGCAAATGGGAGTTTGTTGGGTGATGGAGAGTGAGAAAGAAAAACGGAGTTGCGCAGAGGTTTGAGGAGGGAGGGAGACGCTCGCGGTTCGCACCCGCAGGCATTGGGCGACCAAGGGAGTGGCGCAGCATCAGATTGGGCTAACCGCTTTTGGCATTAGTCAGCTACAGCAGCCACACCCAGGCCTGCCTCAAGCCCTCAACTTCTCAAGTTTCGCCCTGGATTGATGAACCGGAAGTTTTCATCTTTCTTGGATCAAATTGCATGTCTTTGAAACCTCCATCATATGCACTGCAAGATCTCTGCTGCATTTGGTGGTGCCTAATAAGCGCGTCGCGAATTTGATGAGCTAAGGGTGCCTACCGTTGATGTCTATGGCACCTGTACCCTATGTACTCTGTATGTACAATACCTGAATGACAGTTGGCTGCAACTGTCCCGATACGCCGGAAATCAGCAGCGGGAGGAAAGTGATGCTACTGTATGCGCAATATTGCTGTATCGGTTGCTGCCATACAGAAAGGGGCCGCAACACGACTCAAAAGACATCGCCCAACGGTAAAAGCATCAACGGATAGCTTGCGGATCTCGCCATCTCTTCCCTCGCCTGTTATCCCACCCGACCCGAAACGCCTTAATCCTGTTGTTTTCCTCGGCGAGGTCGGCAAGCCATTGCCTTTACGCCCATTCAACCCCCATACGCTGCGTGGTAGGAGCCGCCCTGGGGGATCTGGTTGGTAACGTAATGCCGAACTCAGCTCTCTGTTGGCTGATGACATCCCGAATCGACAAACACCGCTCCCGTTATGGTATCTTACAAACGCCCCTTTATGCTCTTCTATCTCATCTTTGTAGAGGCTGGTGCAGACTGAAGGCTTGTCTTCGCTGGCGCTTTCTCTTTTAGCGGCGTGCGTTCGTCTTCGTCGGCATTGACTTCGAGAAAATGGTATAGAATGATGAGAATCATTGCTGCCGAGCCGAGAAATATGGCAAGTTGGTAAAGCTCCGAGTCCGTGATCATGGTGAACGTTGAATTCGTGGACTGGTGCAAAGCTTAGGAATTATGCGAATTAGCTTCAAACCACGCTGAGAAGAATGAAACGAGTAATTGATCAATGAACAACGTCTGAATACAGAACACATACCTGAGTTTTCTTGGGAATAATTCTTGTTTGGCTGCCGAACAGGGAAGATTGCGATGTTGGATTTGGACAGCTTTCCTCTGCTGTCACGGCTGGAAGCTGCCCCCTGGTCACTGATACAGGCGGGAGCATCCGTACCGTAGTTCCGTACTGAATTTACAGCACTAGCCACAATTGCAAGTGGTACGTATCACTCACGTGAGGGCTGAAGCGCAAGTCTGCCCCACAGCTGAGAGACCAAGGCACTTTTAGCGGCGTCTCCGCCTTGCCTGAGGTTGTGTTCCTCTTTTCCTCCTCCAACATCACCGCACTCCGCCAGATTGCCACCTTCGGTTTCGTTTGTGTGTCCGTCGCCCTCGATACAACGTTGGGGCTGGGACGGAGTGGGATTTCCTTCAGCAGTCGTAAATCCAGAACATTGATTTCGCACACAACCGCGAGTGCTTCTAAGTCACGCTGAGGCCACCAGGCACCCCACTGCGTCCCGGATCGTAACAACCGTCATCACATCCTCACAGTTCGCCCACCATGCCGCCCAAGAAGAACGACAATAAGGGGGGCAAGAAGCCCTCCGCAGCGAAGATCGTTGAGGACAAGACGTTTGGGATGAAGAATAAAAAGGGAGCTGTAGCGCAGAAGCAAATTGCCGCCATCCAATCGTCTATGAAGGCCAGTGGGAGTGCCGAGCAGAAACGAAAGGAGGCCGAGAAAGCACAACGCGAGCGAGAGAAGCGGGCTGCCGAGGAGGCCAAACGGGAAGCCGAATTGCTTCTCAACAAACCTGCCCAGGTCCAGAAAGTTCCCTTTGGAGTCGATCCGAAAACTGTCTTGTGTATATTCTTCAAAAAGGGGAACTGCGAGAAAGGGAAGAAATGCAAGTTCTCGCACGATCTTGCAGTGGAGCGCAAGGTCGAAAAGAAGACGCTGTATGAGGATACAAGACAAGACGAGGAAGAGAAGAAGAAGCAGGAAACTTCAGCCGATTGGGACGAGGAGAAGCTGAGGCAGGTCGTCCTCTCCAAAAAGGGAAATCAGCGCACAACGACAGACAAGGTGTGCAAATACTTCATCCAGGCCATCGAGGATGGCAAGTATGGCTGGTTTTGGGTTTGCCCGAACAACGGGGACAAGTGCATGTACAAACATGCTCTTCCGCCTGGGTAAGCACCAAACGACTCCTTTCGCCTGTAGTGTAAACGCCTGTAGGGTAAACTAACAGTCTTTCAGTTTCGTGCTCAAGACCAAGGAACAGCGAGCGGCTGAGAAGGCTTTATACGACAAGTCCCCACTCAAGACGCTGACCATCGAGGAGTTCCTTGAGTCTGAGAGGCACAAGCTTACTGGTACTCTCACCCCGGTGACGCCCGAGTCGTTTGCCAAATGGAAGAAGGAGCGTTTAGACAAGAAGGCCGCCGAAGAACAACTCAGAAAGGCCAAGGAAGCGACCGGCCGCGCCCTATTCGAAAGTGGCAACTGGAGGGCAGATGAGGAGGATACGGATGATGAGGACGACGCTGCGTGGAACCTCGAAAAGATGAGGCAAGAGACCGAAGCGCTCAGGAGGAAGAAGGAAGAGGAGCGGCTGGCTGCGTTGCACGGCCTTCCACCACCAAGCGGCGACATGAATGGCGGTTCGGTGCCGGGAGCCGACGGGACGGACCCAGACGACAGTAAAGAGGCAAAGCCAGAAGGGGTCCCCAACACGTGAGAATTGTTTGGACTCAGCAACAACCTACGACGCCGCGCAAGCCGTGGGGGGGCAGCGGGCCTATAGAGAGCTCCTCCCCACCCGGTTCGCTGTGATATTGGCCGCGCTGCTCAGAGAAATCTAGCGAGCGTTTGGAACTCACAAGAAGGTATCTTGCAACACTTGCGGCCGGAACAGATTGATATCAGAGCAGAGCAGGGACAACATCCAATTAGAATAGGGGATCACGATCGAATATAGCTCTTGATTCCGGATTACGGAACTCTGCATGGCACAGCTAGCTTGCTCCGCCAATATGTGTTACAACTTTCTCAGCCGCCACCCTCAGAATTTCTCGACATACGGCCGCAGATCTAGCTCATGCGTGAAGCTCGACCGATGCTGCGTGTGCAAATGCCAGTAGCTCTCGGCAATCTACCAAATAACCACAATATCAGCATCATTCACCCCTCCGTCGACCCAGTTCTTCTTGAGGATAAGAGCAAGTTACTCACCGCATCAGGACTGATCTTGCCGTCCTCCACGCCGTCGTTTACGCGATATTCCTTGGTCCTCGGGATGTCAATCACCCCGTCGACAATGACGTGTGCGACGTGCACGCCCTTGGGGCCGAACTCGCGCGCCAGGCTCTGGCTCAGCGCGCGCGCGGCGAACTTGCCCGCCGCAAAGGTCGCGAACCGGGGCGAGCCGCGCACTGACGCCGTTGCGCCCGTGATGATGAGGCTTGGGGGGAAGGGGGAGGATGGGACTGAGTCTAGCAGGGACGGGAGGGTGGCTTGGGCGAAGTTGAATAGGCCGCCGCTGCAGTGGGGGGTGGTTGTTAGTTCTGACTTTTGAGTTGGTGGTTTGGGGTTTGAGGCGAGGGCGGATGGTGATGATTATGATCGAGGTGAAGTTGCGAGAAAAGGGGTAAGTGAGATGAGGGACGTCGTACGCGTTACTTGCTAAGCTCGTGTTCAGATCTGAGGGAGTCAATTCAAGGAAGGGTTTCACTGCGAAACCGGCGCCTACGTTATCTAGAGTGATTTACAAGTGGTTTGAGTTATTAGTGCATCAGTCTGGGGTTTGAAGGCAGGGAGGTAGGCTCACAGATGGCCGCAGCGAGCTTCTTGTCGGGCAGCTCCTTCTTGATAGCCTCAAACGCAGAGCTGACGGATTGAGGATCCGACGTGTCGGCGCTGATGCCGATGGCCTCACCGCCCTGCTTCTTGATCTCGGATACGATGTCGTTGTAACTCTCGGGCTTGCGGGCCAAGAGAACCACCGGGTAGGACCGGGCGAAGCGAAGCGCAACGGAGCGGCCTGTGCCGGCGCCGACTCCGGCTATGACGGCATAGAAGGATTTGGAGGCCATTGTATTGCACGTTTGTTTTAGTTATTGTATCGGTCGGTTGGTGTGTTAGTTATGCTTCTGGAGGTGTTAGGGAACAGAATTCTCGAAACTCCAAGAACGGGCGGAATGGGTTATATGATTATATTCTTTGTAGATTTCCAAGCAGCTTCCATGAGGTGCTTGCTGGCTTACATGATGAGAGATGATGCTTTGGACTAAGAGACCCCGCCCTGTACTCTCGGTTGGCGGGAAGCAGATGATTAATAATCTCAAATATTGCACATTCCGAGAATCGAGAAGAAAAGATGGACTCGGCCACGGATGACCATCATACTCAAGTGTAAAATGCAGTAGGTCTGTGTTTCCTCTCTTGGTTGCTTCAGGGGAAGAGGGAAGATCCCATGCCGTTGGAAGTCTAAGCCAAGCTCAGGGTTAGACGATGGCACTACTTCCGAGTCAGGTAACGGTACGGATATTCAATTACCTTATCTTTACGAAGGTAACGGGTGTGTAACTTACAAGACTTACTTCCGTACTGTGTACGGAGGCTGGGGCCATAACTTCCATAGCGCGCCACCCGGGTTTTGCAAAATGGTCACCGTCAGTATGATTGGGCTGTAAAATCATTTTCATACTAAGTCAATCATGTGGTGATCATATAGTACAAATTCTTTCCAGTGAAAAATGGCTACACAGCTGGATG